TCAGCTCTGTATTGAAATAACAGTTTTAATTTTTTTTTTGATTACCGTCACATGATAACATTCAAGTACATGATAAATTGTCCATACTTGATAAGTTGCAGTTGCTCAATAAGCTAAACTAGTACTTGTTATTCGAATCTTTATGCAGTGATACTTGTTCTAATAAGTTGTTTATTTTATTTCTTTTGCACCCTAAATTCATGAAAGAAATGTCAAATAACTTGTTATCTAACTGTAAATAATATAAAAAATATTAAAAATTAATTTTAAACAAATTTCTTTACACATTAGTTATTCTTTCACAATGCAGTCATTTTGACGGCTTTTGGGCAATATAGGTATATACTAAATTTCAGTCTTTCTAGTGTTAAAGAAAAAAACACTTTATATTCTGCCCATTCACTGCTATTCTTCAATGTCCACAGATCTGAGGGCCAAATCAGGCATAGAAGAAATTATACCACCACACTAATGCCGCATTTAAATACTGTTCTGATCACATCATTTGTTTTTAAGGAAAATCCTTCCAAAGAAAAGCAACCCAGGATGAAATGAACTCGAAGCTGCTGAATACCAGTGTCCCGGGCAGTTCATGGGCTTCAGCGCGAACTGCTCCTTCTCCACCTCGAAGGAGAACATGTTGTCGCTGTAGTGCTCCCAGTGGCCCGAGGTCATCCACAGCCGGCTGTTGAAGATGTTTGGGGTGACCACCTCCTGGAATCCTCGTTTCCTATATTCACTCTGTTAGAGAACAAACAGAACACGTGTCTAGAAATTAGTGCTCATACTTCTGATTAGAGTAAGAATTTAAACTTCCTACCCTCTAGTGAGGCTTAAGATGCACATATGCTATGATCTAGAAATTCCACTTGGAGGTATACACCAAAGAGGAAACTCTTACACCCCCCGCCATAAGGAGGCTTGTCAAAATGATGCTACTGCAGCACAACAGTAACATGGGAAAATCAGAAATTACGTCCGTGCCCACTGATAAAGGGACGGACATACTGCAGTGGTTCTATGATGAAGTCATATGTAACAAGTGACAGTAAGCGGGATCTGCATGTATCTTAAAAAAAATCAATCTGATACACAATGAGCCTTCCTGTATGCAAATCTGAAGTACACAAGCCACTGAGGATACGTATGTATGGGGTGGTGGACAACATGGACAGAACGGATCCACGCTGCCTTCCAGACCAGCTTCTTCTGGGAAAGGCAGGAATGATTCACAAAGCCCACAGGGGAGCTCGTGCCCCTCACTGTGTGAGTATTACTTTACTTCAAACAGAACCTAATGCAAATGTGCATTAGATTAGGTGGTGAGTATACAGATGTTGGTGGTACTATTCTTTATAAACATACTAGTAGCCCTGTGCATGAATCCGTGCGCCCGGAGGTCGCTGTCACCCTCCTGTAGCTCTCCGCCTGTAGCTCTCCGCTTGCCCCCCCTTCCTCTCACTCCCCCCCAATAGCTTGCTGCCCTACCCCCTCTCTGCAGCCCACTTGTACCTCGCTGGTCCACCCTCTGGTCATGATGCGCTTGGTCGTTACGCCTCAGGGTGTAATGGTTAATTAGCATATTCCTCTCTGATTATACAGGATGCGTTCAACACTTCATAATTTATAGAGACAAAAAGCAAGGTAAAGACTAACCTGCTTTTTCAAGGAAAATATAAATGGTCAAAGAGCACACAGAGCCCCTGTGCAAAGGGTGACAAGTCCTAGTTCCAGTGCGGTCACTGGCTTCCCTGTGTGCACATCCATGTCTATGGACACTATCACACATTAGGAAAAAAGTTCTTAAATTCATTCCATTAAATTTGTCTTTTAAAATACAGGATTATCTTTCCTTTCAGCAGACCCTGTTTAATAAAATCGACACATGTCCTAAAGCTACAGAAGAGAATAATGAATAGGGTTTACCCTGAGGAACTCGATAAGCGTATTATAAATGTACGCTCCCTTCGGCAGGAAGAAGCAGCTCCCAGGGCTGAGTTCATGGAAGAAATACAGTTCCTGGTCCTGCAAAGAAGAAAACAAAGAATGCTCACTGCTTGTACATGTGACGTCACTGTTCTTGAGACTATGGTCCTGATGTCTCCTGCTTTCCTCTGGGCCTCTCCCAAATGCAAAGAAAACAGGCGCACATCTCGGATGTGCAATTTAATGGTACAGATTTGCGGTTAATTTACAACTTAGTTCCCTGCCTGTTACATTCCTGAATCCAATCAAATGTACCAAAGATGACATGGAACAAAGGTCTAGTTCTCTTCTATCTAGAGAGAGCTCACATGGTTTTAATTCCTTAAAGCTTTAAGATCTGGCTGTTTTAAATTTTTCTTTATTATTTTTTTAAGTAAGAGTGGCAGTTAGGAGTCTGGGAAAAAGACACTGACAATGAAACAGAAAAGCTGGCTGATTCTGAGTCATGGTGAATGGCACCCCCTGCAACCCCAAGGCCCAAACTTTTCCGGGAGGTGCCACACCAGTCCCTGTGGCTTCCTTACAGGTGGACGGACTTCAGGAAGTCAGGTGAGCGTGGCAATGGACGCTGCCTCCTGCTCAAACTTCCTACCCCACCAACCAAGGACGCCTGGCACAGAGTGAACACAATTTCAGAAAGAAATGTTTTCACCTGACACCTAACTTGCAGCTTGAAAACATTCAGGGCAGAGGGATAAAGTCAATGCACCTGGAATCCAGCGCTGACTCGCTGCATCAGCTTGGGCAACAAGTACATGACTCTTTCTAAAACTCAGTTTCCACATCTTTACAAGAAGTCCCAGATGCTCTGGCCTGTTAGGCTCAGTGGACAGAGGATCAGCCTGTGGACTGAAGGGTCCCAGGTTCGATTCCGGTCAAGGGCACATGCCCAGGTGGCAGGCTCAATCCCCAGTAGGGGGCGTGAATTGCTAATCACCATTCATAAATTTCTGCACATATTCTAAGAAATTTCTCCATCTATTTTTTATCTTTGATGAAAATAATAGTGTCTTGGGCTGGTAGTCTGCTTGTTACCATGGCAACAAGGATATCTGTGCTGCCCTGAGCAGTGTAGCAGTACCTCTGTACCTTGGTTCTGACGGAATGACTGCAAACTCTGTCCGAACAAACCAGTTGTATCATTTTCTTTTCTAGTAACGAGGTGAGAAAGTTCCCCATAGGTCTTCATACAGTAAACATAACAGAGCCTAGTTACATAGCCAGTAGCGACTCCCTGTATTGGCTTCCTCCCTCTTTAA